TCCCAAATAGAGCTCGATCTGGCTACCTCTCTTCCTTTGCTTGAGACCCCTTGTCCTACCTGTGGTGTTTACATTGAACAAGCACAACTGGTAGAATGGAATCTTAAAGCAAATTCATTCTTGACTCCCCCTCCCACTGCCTCACAGAACTTTAAATGGGTTGGAGGCCCTGGGGAAATAAAGAGAATCTATCTCCACTAGAGCACACACTCTGAATATAATTCTCTTTTAATGTAGATCAAAGTGATGTGAAGTAGGTCTTGAGTATGCCTTTGAGATATCTGTGAATGTAGCATGTCCCTGCAGCTCAGGGGTGGTTAGGAAGGGCGTCTGCTGCATGATGTAGGGTGTGCCTTGAGGATCTCAGTGTTAGGGGACCCAGGAGCCAACAACATAAAGTCGAGGAGGCTCCACTCTTGACCCAATGGGTGCACTCTAACACTGATCTAACAAAGATGATTCAAGGTACACATGAAGGAACCACGTTCAATTTTCAGTGTCCAATTCCTGCTTATGCACACACACACATACACACACATACACATTCCAGCAGCAGGCAATGCCTTGTTTTGTATGCAAATGTAAAGGAGCATATAAACAATCCCCTCAAAGTAGGTAACACAAAACCATCTGGGTGGTCTTTACCATGCAGTCTGCGATTTTCTTCTTTCTGTTCCTTTCCTATCCTTGTCTTGTCCTCCTTTCCACCTCCCCTCACCTCCCCCACCCCGCCCCAATCCTGGTGCCAGCTGAACACTATAGATTGTTTCTTGCTCAGTTAATCATGGATGGCGTTTGTCATTTTGAGAACACAGTAGATAAAGGTATGAGCCGTGGCTAAAGGATTGGCAAAAACTGGGCTTGGAATGTCAACTGCACTGTAGATGATGAATAGGCAGTTTGCTGAGATCCCTAAATGTGATTCCACTTTTACTTTTGATCCTACCAACATCAGACTCCATTGCTCTGCACTGCTAGGTTCTGCCATGCCAGCTCCCTGGAGCAGAAAGGCCTCCTTCTTCCCTCCACCCTGCAGCATGCATTTCACAGGGGCAATGGCTCCTGTCACTTCATTTGTATTTTACCAGAATCGGAAGCACATGCAAAGCAGGATACAAGCAGAGTCTTGCTTGTGAGGAATTACTGGCCCAGGAGCAGTGGTTCAATTAAAAGTAACTATACCCCAGGAGTAGCAGTGAGGCCTAGAGCACCATGGAGAAGAACTTGGGTTTTCAAGACAAACAGGCCCAGGGCTGAATCCTTTTATTGTCACTTATTGGCTGTGTAATCTGTTAATTTCTCCTAGTCTCAATTTCCTTATCTGTAAAATAGACCCCTACCCCACAAGAGCACTGTTGAATGAGATCACATGCGTCAAGGTCAGTGCTGATGGATTATCCAGATACCAGGCATGTGCCTTGCACAATGGAGACAGCAAAGACGGACAAGATGCAGAACTGCCACCTCCACACGCTTACATCTGAGTGAAGAAATCTATGTAAACTTCATATTTTAATATCTCTGGGCCTTCCTTTCCTCCTCTATAACATGCAGACAACAATAATACCTACTCATAAGATTAAATGATTAATATATGCAAAGCATGTAGGGCAATATTGGCACGTTGTAGTATTTGAAAAGGAATTTAGGATGACGGTGGAGAACAGAGTTAAATTTTGTGGAGAGGCTTAGGAATCATTCTACAGAGAAGTTGACAGAGACATGAGCTTGCAGGACAGGCCTGGTCAGCTGGGTGGAAGGGATGATTGAGAACAAGGGTGCAGAGGTAGGAAGGTTAAGGTGAGCACAAGAGAGAGCCAGTCACTCTATCTTGGCTGCAGCAGGGGGTCCACAAGGATAATAGTGGAAGTCCAGGAAGGCTTTTGGAGAATCCTGAAATGCTAGGTGAAAATGTGTACCTAATTGTGTAGGCAATACTGAGATCATAAGCTGGGGGAAATAATATGATCAGAGATAGGCTCTGGGAAAATTACTGTGTCCATGAAGTAAGGGAAAGCAGAATTTCCGTCAGGGGTGCAAACGAGAAGCTAGTGGCACTTTGTTTATTCATTCAACAAATATTTCTTTGTTATGTGTGAGGCACCATCCTAGGTGTTGGGCTTACTGTGGGGAGCAAGGTGGAGTCTGTCCATGTGGAGGTTATATCCTAGTGGGAGAGATGGATAGACAGGCAATCACCTGGGTATATCATTTAAAACAAGGCAGGTTCAGTGGAGGGACCTACAAGAGCTTTGACAAGAGGGGTATGTAAAATGAGTCAGGGATGGACTCCCTGCAGAAGCAACATATAAGGTGAGATTTGAGGGATGGGAAGCCCATCAAGGTGAAAGATGAGGGAGAAGGAGAAAATGCTTCCCATGTAAAGTCATTGAGTTGGAGTGACAAGATCAAATTTATCTCATAGAAAGGCCTTTCTGGCCTTGGTGTGGAAAATTTTTTGGAAAGCAGGCAAGAGCAGAATTTGGTTGGATTAACTAGGAAGCTAGAGCAGGAATGACATCCAAGGATGATTGTGAGACACCTTCACGCCAGAATACCATTACACACCCAAAACACAATGAACCTTGCAAACAAAAGAAGTCAGACACAGAAGAACATACTCTATGATTCCATTTATATGACATTGAAGAACAGAACTTTATATGAATGAACTAATATGTGGTGAGAGATTTTAGAACAGTGGCTACTTTGGGGGTGAGTATTGACTGGGAGAGTCGTGATGGAGGCTTCTGGCAACAGGCTGGAAATCATTTGCATCTTTAGTAGGTAGGTAATTCTACCCACTAATTCACACCTGCTTTGTACGTGTAATTTGTGTGCCAAGGAAATGAAAAGAAGGACTGATATACACCATCAAAAATACACACTCAGAGTGTAATGTTAAGGAGGAAAAATTATATATATAACATTATCATAACTCTGAAAAAATCAATATAATAATATTATTTATTTACAAATTAAAAGGTAAAAACACAACATTTTGATATTGGTTATTTCTGGTGGTGGGATTTCAGCTGATTGATGTGAAGAGACACCCCAAGAAGGATTTTCAGAAACGTAGCCAATTGTCAAGAGACTAAACCAACCACTGTCAGCAGGACAGGGATATGAATCCCAGTTCTAGTCTTTCCTAAGGGAGTGAGCTTCAGCAAATTACATAACCTCTTCAGCCTGGTTTCTGCAACTTTATAAAAAGGGTCATAATCAATACTGGTGCCTCTATCCCAGAACTGTTTGGGGGACTAAATAAAGTGAAGTGTAAACACAGTGCTTCGTAGTGTAGTGAGTCCTCAGTAAATATTGCTATTAAAGAAATCTTGGAGGCAGAAGAGAGTGGAGCTGCCCACATTTGCATGGACTGCCCCTCTTCTCCAGGGCGCCTGTGGGGACGGGGATTTGAGGAGGAGGGCAAAGGTCCAGAACAGCGACTATGGAAACATCAAGCTGACCCAGGAGCATGCCCTGCTGGGGTGCAAGCTGAGCAGTTCTGGGGTGAAATACCCCCCACTCCATCTCAGCCAGCAAGGATGTTTGAAACACTCCCGAGTCAGGAATTGCAAAGGGTGTTGATGGGAAGACAAGGAAATGGTATTTCGAGGATAAACTCCATGGAGTACGAAAATAAAGAATGTCATTTTACATGGGATAGTTTAAAGTTGAACATTTTGTGACTATCTATAACTGTGGGTGTGATGTATATATAATGTGATGTTATTTAAGGAAATGACAAAAAACCCTTATCGTTTGCCTTTGTACATAGAGACACGTTTCTCTGTGCATTATCCAATAGCGAATATTATGATACAATATTTACATGCTATTTGAATTCATGAAAAAAAAATTTTTTAATTAAAAGTGCCTATCCCTTCTAGAAACCAGTGGATTCCAAAGCTTCTCAGGTGGAATTAGGGGAAATTTAATTGGCACATAGTCAATGACTGAGGAAGCACGTCATGGACACATGCTCCAGGTATTTGAATCTCTATCTTCCCTCTCAAGGAGACAAGCTTATGATAGTTAGGCAGCAACATCAGGTTCATTGGTTCAGGCCACAAAATATTAAACTGACTTTATTTCCTTGAGAATAAAAAGGAAATCACATACAAAACAGAAACCTACTGTGTAATACACAGAAAAACTACATTTCTGGGACAGGGGGCATAGAATTTTCTTTTATTTTATCATTTAATTTTATTTTTACAGGCAGATTCTGAAAAATCAATACTTTGAGGCAGAACTGGATTTAATATTATGCTCTCATTCAGAATGTGAGCTGAGAACTGTGTCAACATTTGCAGCCCTGTCCGCCTGCATTTCAATTGAAAATTGTCCAACATGATATAACACACACAGGGGGTTCTGAAGAGCTATCTCTGAATAATAATGATATTGATAATAATTATATTGGCTACCGTTTTTATCAACACTTTTTAATGTAGCAGGTATTGTGCTGAGCATTTTGGATGTATTAGCTCAACTGTTTCCCACAACAAACCTATGAGGGAGGTATTTTAGGCATTTTATTATACCCATGTTATGTGTGAGGACAATTAAGCTCAGACTAGGGTGACCAATGGCTCAGGTTTTCCCAGGATGTGAGACTTCAGTGCTTAGCCCAGGAAAGTCCTGGGCAAACTGGATGAGTTGGTCTCTGTGAAAGTGATCTGCTTGATTTTTTAAATAGCAGAAAGAGATTTAAGCTCTCCTCTTCTTGGCTGGTTAGATTTCCCACCTACTGCCAGCTGAGCTCTAGATTACAGTCTATGATAGTTAAGTAGCCAAAACATTCTTTGGCAGCATGGGATGAGGGTCTAGGTTGAAACTGGGGAATATTATTTCACACGATGTAATTGGAAATGTCGTCTTGTCTCTCTCTGTCCCCCAACCGTTGAGCCAGTGAAGCTGAACCTCCCTTTACAACATGTCCAATGGGCTTGCAGGTTACTGTAATCTGACATTCAAAGTGAAAACCCACTTACCTTGGGAAGTGGGTAGAGATGACACAATGGTTGGCCAGGGTCCTGCTTACAAAACTTCAGGGTGTGACACACCACATCAGCATTCATATCTGTGCTAAGCCTGGAGGGAAATGGGACAAAACAAAGGCTATTTAAGATCTCTCAGGCATTTAGGAAATAGAACCTATTTCAAAGGAAGGTAAATCCCCAGAATGGATTCTAGCATGGTCTTTGAGTCCAGCCTGGAGTAGCTGCCAGATCAAAATGATTTCCTGCCACGTTGCTCTCTTTTCTGTTTGAAATAAGGTCCTGGGGGGTGGGAAGGGGGCATGGACAGCACTGAGCTGTGGTCATCCTCTCACATGGGCACTGTGATTCTTTTCAGGAGAAGCCACAATAAAATTGGGAAAAGAAAAATGGATAGGTGTATAATTTGATGGAAGGAATATTTTAAAGTTTGCTAGGTCTTATAGCAAAAAATCATTTATAATAAAGCCTTAACACCTAAAATTATTTTCTTAGGCATAATCCAAATCATGTTTCCCTTTATTTTATTTAAAATTTTTTTAATGTTTATTTATTTTTGAGAGAGAGACAGAGACAGAGTATGAGTGGGGAGGGGCAGAGAGGGAGAGGGAGACACAGAATTTGAAGCAGGCTCCAGGTTCTGAGTTGTCAGCACAGCTCAAACCCATGAGCTGTAAGATCATGACCTGAGCCGAAGTCAGACGCTTAACTGACTGAGCCATCAGGTGCCCCAATCATCTGTTTCCCTTTAAAATAAATATATTTCTAGGGGTTCCTGGGTGGTTCAGTCAGTTAAGCATCTGACTTTGGCTAATGTTGTGATCTCACAGTTCATGGGTTTGAGCCCTGTGTTGGGAATCTCTGCTGTCAGCACGAAGCCCTCTTGGGATCCTCTATTTACCTCTCTCTCTGCCCCTCCCTTGCTTATATGGGTGTGCTCTCTCTTTCTCTCTCTGAAAAATGGATAAATATTTAAAAAAATAATAAAGTAAATATGTTTCTTTACCTTATGGGAGAAAATACAATATGTTTGACTTTCCACACCCCAGGATGGTGTAAGGAAAGTGCTCTTTAAACATTTTGGTTTATGTCTAGTTTGAAGGTGCTAACACAAACCTTCCATATGCATTTTCTACCTGACACTCCCAAAATTCTTCTTACCAAGAAGAATGAGTACAATGTGCTGCTTCAAATGAAGGAACAAACAGAGTATGGATTTTTAGTAACTTTTCCCAGTAAATCATTGATTCAAACCCAACCCAACCAACCAAAACAACAAAAAGAATCCACAAATATACGTTGGTCATACCTAGAGACTAATCTCAGAAAAACAGTTCTTGATTTTAGAAGATACTTTTTGCGATTTCTTCCCAGCTCACATGATCACTTAACTGACCCCCTTCTTCCACAGGGGTAGGTTCCTAGCAACTATGTTGTACTTACTCCCTATGTCTTGGCCAGTTGATTGGACCTCATTTGATGACTGTTCAAGTAGGATCAGTCAGATTCTCTCCTATGGAAATTTGGAATTGGTATTAACAACTTCAACCTCATTCTGAGCTGTTCCCAGAATAACAGGAGCTATAGTAACTTGGGACTGTAATGTCATTTTCTGCCACATGGACTGAGACGTTGGAAAGCTAATCTGTAGGATAGGATTCAGGGGTCAGAACCCAGTGTGTGCAGTGAGAAAGCCTGGGGAGAATGTGCCCCTGTATTCCTGGTGGCTTCCAAGTCCTGCTTCCATCCCTGTCTGAAGCCTGGTAAGATGGCTTCCCAAGCTTTTGTGAGTACCTGAGTTAAGAGGGGAAAAAGAGAGTCATCTGTTTGGCTCCACGGTTCCTTGGTGAGAGGTAGAGGGGAAGGTAACTTAAAATATAAAAGGAGTTCACATCTTCTAAGTTGTGGGGCAAGCTGTATGTAGCAGATAAAGTTCATTAGCAAACTAATGTCTACCAAGGGTCAGTAAATCAGGAGAGGTGGCTGTTTTCACATATCTTTTCTCAACTTAATGGTTCATTTATTTAACTGATGACTGCTGTCTTTATGGGGGTTTGATATTTAGTGGACTCAAGAGGGTGATAAATAGGCTCTGCTTAACCTTTTTTTTTTCTTTAAACCCTACAGCCATCCCATCTGTGGTAATCCAGGACCACTAACTAATCATATGATATCCAAGACGTATTCTCTTTCTCTGCAAATAGAGCACAATTTCAAGTAAGTGAACTTGAATATGGGAGTGGAAATGAAAACCCCACAGACAGTGAGGTGGTCTCTACATTGAGGAATAGGAGAGGGGAACAGGCATATGGTGTTCTTCCCAGGGTTCTCTAAGATCAGATCTTTGTCATTAAAAGACTGAAAGTGAGAGGCACTCCTTTGGACAAGAATAGAAAATGCCGAGCCTCATAAATCCAGACAAGTGTAAGACCATTAGAATGTGCAAGATGTAGGGAAGTGGCAAAATAGCACATGTGCTCTTTACCAATTGTGGGATAGAAAGCCTAGGCAACACATAAGATATGAAATCCCTAGGAAATCTCCAAATTCAGAATATCCATTCCCACTCAACATTGTTTTCTTTTTCCCATAGTAGCAAAAAGACCAAAATGGTCACTTTTTAATTTACTTCCTTTTACTACCCTTACAGGTACAGAGGTGTGCAGGAATGAGGCATGTGGTGGGGGACTGGGGAGGAGGGAAGAGGCTTCAACACATTTGGCAGAGCTAATTAACAAGTCTAATTAAGATCATGGTAGAATGAAGTCAATGATGATGATCATCACCATAAATCAAAAGAAGGGAGCAAGGTCAGGGTTAATAGACAGAGTAACAGCCTATGGCAGGGAGTGAGGACAGGGACTTCCACACATGAAAGCTCTCAAATTTAGACCTTGACATCACTTTCAAAGAAAGTTTATATATTAACATATAGTCACAGAGATATATTCACAGCATTGAAAGAAGATCTTCCTTATGCAACTTAATACTTTTATCCCATTTCTGGACCACACGCACAGTGTACTATGAATTTATTCACTTCTATAAATCTTGTACAGTTGTCTCTCTTTTGCCTGTGGTTCTGCCTTCCATGGTTTCAGTAACTAGTAGTCAGCCATCATCTGAAAGCAGATGATTCTCCTTCTAACATATCGTCAGAAGGTCAATAGCCACCTAACTTACCTCACAATGCCTACGTCATTCATCTTCCTTTATCTCATCACATGGGCATTTTATCATCTCCCATCATCACAAGAAGAAGGGTGAGTACAGTGCAAGAAGATATTTAAGAGAGAGAGAGAGAGAGAGACACCACATTCACATAGTTTTTATTACAGTGTATTGTTTTAATTGTTTTATTTTATTATTGTTGCTAATATTTTCCTGTGCTTAATTTATAAATTAAACTATATCACAAGTATGTATGTATAGGAAAAAATAGTATATATAGTTCAGTACTATCTGGTTTCAGGCAACTACTTGGGGGGTCTTGGAATTTCCTCCCTCTGGATAATGGGGGACTGCTGTAATTATCTTGTGAATGGCAAAGATATTGCTTTGTGTTTGGGTGTCTAAAAACACATTAATTACATCTAAGGTGTATTATGTTATAAATCCTGTTTCACATTTTCTTCTAAAAAATGTTAGTAGTTTAGGCCCCCCATGATCTCTGAGACCTCCTAGTTTAGAATACAAGAGTTTATGATTTAGAGGAAAGCAGAAGTAAATCCCAGGAAGTAAGGTGAGATGTACAGAAGATAAGGATCAGGCTTGCTATGGCAACCAATGGCACAATGGAGGTCAAGACCAGGCAGAGGAAGACCCAGCACCTGGCTAAGACCTAGCACTGGCTAGGATTGGCCGCTCCTGGAAGCAGCCCCTCCCTGTATGATCCAGGTTCTTGGGGGAATGCCTGAGTGCTCAGGTGACTCACTTCCCAACAACATCCTGTGGCTTGCCCATGGGTAGGAAATGTAATTGCTGAATAATTAGTCCATGAATCATTGATAATTGACTGGTGTGAAATAATGAGGAGGGATGCCTTCTGGGTTAGAAAACACATTTAATACTGGAAGCCTGAAATTGTGGTAAAACTAAACCATAAGATTGTCATTTTCAGCACTTATATCAACCCCAAACTGTATGTGATTGATTAAAAGAAGTTGTAATAAGAGCACACCATAAGAGGAGAAATGTCTATCAGCAAACACCTAACACAGGTACTGGAAAATTCCTTGCCAATAAAACTAATGGTAGACAGAACCATGAAGGGGGATCATTTATTATATCTGTCTTTCTTCAAATGGCCCACCCCTACTACTGAGAATTAGTTGTCTCGTGACTTTGAGTCATCACAAAGGAAAAAAATGTCTCCCTTCCCTACCACCTACTCAGAGAGTGGCCCTCTGTTTTGGTGACTTGCTGGGCCCATTCTTCTTTAACACCTTGTGTTAATTTGCTGTTATTTGAGGTGGGACTGTTGTTTGTACAGTTCAAATCTGTAGTACCTAGGACAGTGTCTTGTCTGTCCTCTCTCATCTTTGCCTTAAATGTCTTACACTTGCCACTCTGGCCAACTACAGAAGAGCAATGGGTTTCTTAATCAACCCAGGCAATGGCCCTTTCACTCCCAGCATGCTTGGTAGCTAATCTCTGGCTCCCCCTTTTGGGTATCTGCACACACTCTCCTCTTTAGCTTCTATGACTTTTTTCCATGTACCTCTCTGGTTCCATGATCTAGGCCCAACAGAACCTCTCCGCCAAGCTGACATTTCTGCCAGAGCACCTAGTTCATAATAGGTATATAGGTAGGCAGATTCAATAAATAGACTAAAAAGTTTTTCTTTTCCTGTTTTAATATGTTCAACCAATTTCTTTGGAGCTGTCTAGTCATATCATCTGCAGTGATAATTTTGTTCTTTTAAAATAATTAGTTCAACAAACATTTATTGAAGGACTTCAATATATATTGAAGGCTCAAATATAGCACCAAGCCCTGAAGATACAAAGCCCTCTCCTTCTCCTCCTTCCCTCCCTTCCTTCCTTCTTTCCACATACTCAGTATTTTGCTAAGTATCTGGAGATACAGAGATGAATGAAATGCATCTCAGAAGGTTTTCAATCTAGTTAGTAACTCAGAAAAAGTAAATGGAGAATTAAATTACAAACAGATGTGGTAAGTGCTGTGCTAGGGGTTTGCACCGGATACCAGGAATATGTGTGTGTGTGTGTGTGTGTGTGTGTGTATGTGTGTGTGCACATGCACGTGTGCGTGTGTGTGTGTTGATGGTGGTGGGAATATCATCTGTCTTATCCCACCCTAAGGGCTAAGGTCAGGCAAGCTTCCAGAGGAAGTGGCGTTGGAACTGAGGTCTAAAGAAGTAGAATTTGTCTGGGGTAGAGGTTTTGAATGAATCAAGCATGGGGGAACATCTTATGCAAAGGTCCTGAGGCAAAAACCTCTTGGTGTGTACGGGGAGTTACAAGTGGTTTGGAATGTGGTGTGCTGTGGAACAGCCAGGGATAGTCTGAAAATATCCTCAAGGACTGATTTATAAATAGCCTTGTGTATGTGGCTAAGGAATCCTGCAAATAGTGTGAAGACTGAAGAATTTTGTTAGTGCCATATTAGTTTGGCATTTAAAATATATTTGGCCAGCTAGAATGTGGATTATTGACTTGTGCCAATGGGCAAGTCTGGAGTCCAGTTAGGAGGCAGTAACAGGAATAGAAGTATGAGCTAAAAAGAAATGGTCCCTGCCTTCCCAACACTTGCACTCAGCGGCTCATGAGAAATCATTTACCATAATAGCGTGAGATACATATTAATAGAGGCAGGTGCACAGCATGACCAAACACTTTGGACTTTATGATTTTAAGCTCCTTTTGTCTTTAAAATTCTGCAACTCTAGGCTACCTAGTTGTGGGGAATGGTGCCTCTGAGCCTATCTGTTTTGAGGCTAATGGCATATAAAAGAGGAACCACATAAGAATGTTCATTGCAACACTGTTCACAAGAGAGAAAAACCAATAAACAACTTAAAAACCCATCAATGGGAGAGTGAAGGAATAGATTCTTGTAGAGACACAATGGAATATTCTATACAGGCAGAGTGAGTGAATTATAGCAATGACACGACATTATGGATGAATCTTAGACATATAAACCCAAGTTGTAGGTCCCATAGACATATAAACCCAAGTGGTAGGTCCCCTAAACATAGGAACTCAAGTGGTTAGTCCCGAAAGATTACATACAATGTGATACTGTCTTCATAAATTTAAGAAATGACTAAAACAAGGTATATTTTAAAGAAATATATATAATAAGTACATTAAAATTCTAATTATTTTATGTAATTATATATTACCATTAATTATAATTATTAATCATTGATACCTCAATTCATTGATATTTAATTAAGATTAATTTTCCATATTACATATTGACACATATTTCTTATATATTATTATACATAAATATATATAAATTTAACATATTAACATAACTGTGTGTGTGTGTGTGTGTGTGTGTGTGTATAAACTATAGAAAAAAGAAAACAAGAGAAAGATGAGCATGGGATTTATTACTTAGGTAGAAAAAAGCATGAGAATGAATGAAAGAGGGACTGGGTGGTTAGAGTAAGTTATAACCAAGGTCCTAGATTTTGTTTTGGGTGGTAGGTTTGGATGCTAATTACATTATTCAAAATAACTAAGTAATTAACTAAATAAAAAATATAAGAAAGTCATGTATGGATTCTTGTTGAGAAAATGTCATGAACAAGAAGGAATAGGATTTATCTCATCCAGTGCCCTTGAGCTCAAAAAAGAAAGACAGAGAAGAGAAAGAAGGAAGCAGACATGTGATAATGGCACACGCAGGGGATCCTGAGAGGCAAGGGCTGGGGCTAGGGAAGTAGGGAGGGGCCAGGAAACCCATGAGGGAGGACAGAGGAGAAGAACCTAAGATGATGTGGCCTTGGAACCCAGCTGGGATTGAAGGGAAAGACTAGTACACTTTGGGGAGCTCAGGGTAAGGGGCCAAATGCCTGGGTCTGGACAGTAGGATCTAGCCATTTGTTAGTAAAATTTCTTCTGGAAGGCTCTTGAGGAGAAATAAAGCCAGATTTCATACTGTAATTCAAGGTGAGCCTTTGCCTCAAATGATAGTGGACCTGAGTCAGGTCTGAATGTTCCACTATGAACAAGAACAGGAACACAGCTCAAGTCCTTGTTCAGTGAGTACATCCTGCTGGCAGAGGAGTCAGCTGCCTCTCAGCTTTCCTGTTTCACCCATGTCCCAGCAACTGAGTAAGGTCAACGTGCCAGCATACTCACAGTTTTATGATGTCTGGTCCAAACATTTCTATCACTAAATAGCAGGTTGTCTTCAAGAACAGCTTTTCTAAAAAAAAAAAAAAATAAAGAAGGGGAAATAGATTATTTTCATGATCATCTTTACTAAGAATTGATGATGGATGATTAATTTATCATTGATTCCAGTGATTAATTATAAGGGTTTGAGGGAAATGTTACAGTTAATGTATTCATTATTTCAGGTTTATGTGAATGCTACTTTGTTTACAGTACATGACAAAGATTACCAGTTTATTACAGTTAAATTTGGGGGTTTTATTTTCTTTTGTACAGCAAGGAATGTCTGAATTCTGGTGAAGATCTCCTTTGTTGAAATAAAAAAACAGGACTCACGTTAAAGTAAATAATTTAAAATATAGCTTTGCTAAAAATACTCTTTTCTGGTGTTCATTTGGAAAAAAAGATTTCACTTTGCCTATTTAGTTTTTGCTGTTAGTATTCCAGAGATAAAAAGAGATGGTCAAAATGTCCCTGCACTGCCATCTTCACCAGAGAACACACATACACACACACACACACACACACACACACACACACACACACACACACTAACAAAGCAATCTCCTTCCTCTCCATTGTGAGAGTACAGGGATGCTTTGTGAATTGATCAGTTTGCACAATGAAGCCTGTTTATTCTCTGGTCCTGTTTTTCCAGTTTGTAAGTCCACTGTGGAGCCTTGGGAATTAGGACCTTAGCACAATTAGGACAGATGGGCTGTCCTGGGAAGAGATGGGAGTCTCTCTCTGATGAGAATTTATCTCGTCATGCTCATCTCAAACTGCACTACCCACACCTTGCTTGGAGGGTAGGGTAGTAAAAGAATAGGATAAGTATGGGAAACACTGTCTGGTACTTCATTTTTACTCACTAGTAAATAATGTAAATATTATTGTTATATTACAATAGATCTATTAATAGGACCTTTTTTCCTACAATAAAGCAAAGACTTCAAACACATTGCGTTTGAAGTAGGAACTTAAAATTATATCCCCACGTTGACTTTACAGAAGTGAAAAGAACCATGGGGGAATACTATGACACTGCATGACCGCACCTTAGTTAACTAGATGAGATGGACAAATTCCTAGAAAGACAAACTGCCAAAATTGACTCAAAAATAGAGAATCTGGATAGATCTATAACAAGTGATTGAATTAGTAATCTAAAGCTTCCCACAAAGAAAAGCCCACAACCAGATGGCTTCACTGGTGAATTGTACCAAACACCTGAAGAAAGCATCTGAATAGGTTTTCTGCAAAGAAGATATATGGATGGCCAATAAGCACATGAAAAGATGCTCAACATCTTTAACTATTAAGGAAATGCAAATCAAAAACAAAATGAGATACCACATCATACTCACTATGATATGCTATAATAAAAATGACAGATAATAGGGGCACGTGGGTGGCTCAGTTGGTTGAACGTCTGACTTTGGCCCAAGTCATGATCTCACATCACGAATTTGAGCCTCACTTTGGGCTCACTGCTGCCAGGCAGAGCCTGCTTCAGATCCTCTGTCCTTTTTCTCTCCACCCTTTCCCCACTCATGCTCTGTCTCTCAAAAAAAAATTTTTTTAATGACAAATAATAGCAAGTATTGATTTGGAGAAATTAGAATCTTCATACACTGCTGGTGGGAACATGAAATGGTGCAGCCACCTTGGTAAATGGTCTGACATTTCCTCAAATGGTTCAACATGGGGTTACCACATGATACAAATCCACTCTTAGGTATATACCCCAAAGAATAAAAAATATATATAAACACAAAAACTTGTGCATAAATGTTCACAGTGGCATTATTTAAAATAGCCAAGAAGTGGAAACAATTCAACCCAAATGTCCATTAACAAATGAATGAACAAAATGGGCTACATCCATACAATAGAATATTCAGCTGTGAAGAGTAATGCAGGTCTGCTACATGCCACACATGGATGGACATTAAAAACATTATGCTAAATGAGAGAAACATAATTCCATTGATATGAAATGTCCAGAAGAGGCAAATGCATAGGGACAGAAAATAGGTTAGTGGTTGTTTAGGGCTGGGGAGGATGGATAAGGACAACTTAGAGGTGTGAGGGCCCTTTCTAGTGTGCTGAAAGTGTTCTAAAATTCACTGTGGTGATAAATGCACATCTCTGGGAATATACTAAAAGCCATTGAATTATACATTTTAAATGGATGAACTGCAGAAGGCGAGAGAGAGAGAGAGAGAGAGAGAGAGAGAGAGAGAGAGAGATACTCTTAAGTTGGCTTCACACCCTGGGCAGAACCCAACCCAGGCTCGATCTCACAACATGAGATCGTGATCTGATCCAAAATCAAATGTCAGATGCTTAACCAAATGAGCCACCCAGGTGCCCCCTCAATAAAAAGGTTCTAAAATAAAAACCTCTCTTTCCCCTGGGTGCTCCTTTACAGGGGCAGTGCAATGGAGAGTATCAAGAATCTATGATGTCATAGGATTCAGAGACCTGATTTCAGCATCTATGGACCTGCTTCTGACCTTTGATTGCTTACCCCTTCTGGATTTCCGTTTCCTCATCTGAAAAATGTGGGAATGGAATTCAGTCTCCTTCACTAGACCATCTAGGGAGTTTGGAGAATTATGTAACAGATATTGAAAATTACATGAATTGGCACAGCACTCTGGAAGCCAGTTTCAAGTATGGCCAATGTAGAACTAGTTGAACCAAAAGCTGGGCAATATTGACTCTTGCAGTACTGCTTGAAAGACAGAGGAAATTCATCTTCTTTCTGGTACAATAAGAGATGTTGGGGTGTGTGTGTATTTTCTTAGAACCTTGTTTTGTTCAGGTTGAAATGAGTGGCTGCGAGTTTTCCTCGCTCTCTGAGTAGGACCATCTGAATGATCAATTTCTCAGACAGATTCAGTGATCATTTCTCAGATGGCTTCTGCAATGGTTAAGAGGGAGAGGCTCCTGGAGCAATGGAATAAGAGATGGCCCCTTGAGAGCTAAATTATAGATCAGCACAGAAAGGTACAGAGTGGAGATGTGCCAAGCCTCCAGAGCAAGCCAGATAGGGCCCAGTCAGCATGATCAGATGCCACCTCACTGTTACTGATACAACCACAGAAAAGATTGGTACTAACATATTGCTAGTCACCTACCTGATATGAAATGTATACAGTTAAACCATCTGTGACCAGCAAGGTACAGAGCATTGAGTTTCTACAGTGTCAAACAGACTTGGAACAGCACAGGAGGGGGAAAAAAGTGGCCATTTTCAAGGGCAAAGGAGGGTGAAAAAGGAGCAAGTGAGCAGTTGTCACACATTAGATGTACACATGTGTGTGTAAATGAAGCCCAGGACATTCTAGGTTGTAAGTCACCTTCATGTTTTCCATGACAAAGTTTCTCATAAGACCCTTTGGAGGGAGTGTTTATGTTTACTCTCCTTCTACTCTCCTTCTAGAGAGTTATGTTTACTCTCTAACTAGTTCCTACTAGTCTGCTTGTAGACTTTCAGAACCTAAGAAACATGAGGAGAGTTGCCTTCCTTGTTTTAAATCTACATGTGTTTTTAACTATCATATTCCACGAAGATAAGATTTTTGCATAGGTGACCCAAGAAAGTGAAGTTCTAACCAGGCTCTCAGGGCATATGAGTCTGCTAACCCCTAGTGAGAATGATTCCATTAATCATTTTTCCATTAACAATTCTGATATTCTTCCAAGGTGTTTACTAATGAGAGCCAGAGGCAAAAGCAGCAGGTGAAACTGAAGGTCGGTAATGTTTCGCACAATTCAAAAAAATCGTCTTCCCAGGCAAAGAAAGGCCAGCCTGATTTACTGAGTGATTATTCTCAAGAATGTCGCTTACATGCTTTCAGACCGCTAAGGTTATGTCTTCTGAACTAGTTCTGCTTTGGAGGTAAAAGCAATACTATTTAAAAATAATAACTGTGTGTTGAAGTGTGTAATTTCACTTCCTCTGTCCCCCATTCTCCTGGCACACCAGGCAGAAAGCAATACTGGACGCAAATAGGCACTATGGCTCAGGCCCATTTCGTTTTCAAGAAGGAGAAATCCTGAGCTAGGAGGCAGACTATCTTTGTCACCCTCTACAGTTTGCGTGACCATCCTACACACAAATGTACAAAATACGTTTATAAAATGGAAACAGTATGCCTGCCATGCCTTTATGCATGTCAGGTGAAAGAGCTTTTAAGCTGAACTGAATATATTATTTCTATCCACAGGTAAAATATTAATTAACATGAAAACAACTGCAAGCGCCATTCTTAATCCTTTGAAATTCCTCCAGTTAAAAGGAAACCCACCACTGGAAACTGAAATACCAAGTTCGCTTCTCTTGGGAAGGCATCAACTTTTATTTTACCAGAATCTGACTTTCAACCTCTTATTCAGCTTAGCAGACTCTGAAGTTTCCTGTGATGAGTCAGAAGGAGCCAAGATGGTATCTTGCATACCAGCGATCTTGGTCCATGTTGTTTTTCGTTTTGCTAGTATATTAGGTGAAGATAATCTAGGAAGAAGGATTTTTGCTGAGCCTTTCATTTTTGAGCAACATAATTTTGCCTAAATAAAGAACAAAACTGGGTGTCTCCACAAACCCCAAAACACAGTTAGGCAAGGATAAACCACTCACATCCGCAAGACATGTGGGTTATCAACATCTGGGTAGGGGAAAGTAAAGGGAAGCAATAGAATACCAGATAAACCTGAGAATGGGGGCGTCTCCAAATAGTATATAGGTATTGCCTAGAAAGTATGGTGGGCCAATTAAAGAAGGGAAGCTGAGACCGGGTGGGGTTTTGGCCACTGTGATGGCAGATGACTACAAGGGTCTTAGGGGTAGAAGGACTAAGGGGCTGGCATGGCCAGGCATCTATAATTTCTAGAAACTGACCTACCAGAGATTCCTTTTAGGATGGCATCCATGCTGAGGAGAAATTGCTGGGTTTGGAAACAAAACTGAGCTGGAGAGAAGCAAAGGAAAGAAAATCCAGACAAAAGTTGTCAAGGGAATAGTCAGAAACACCAAAAGTATGCTCCCGTGTGTGTGTGTGTGTGTGTGTGTGTGTGTGTGTGTGTGTTTTAACACTACATAACAACAACAGAAAAAAGTTCTGTGCATTTAGAAACGTACCCTGAACCACTTCTCTTTTTAAGAGTTTTAGAAAACTAATTTCATATAAAAATGAGCAACAGAAATGTATCTAGGTCAACTCCCATACAAAGTTATTATAAGAAAAAAAAGAATAAGGAACAGAATCCCATCCCTATAGAGAGCAAAAAGCATGCCAGAAAGTCAAGTCCAAAAAAGGATTAAAACATAACATAGTATTTCAAAATGAGCTAAGAAGCATTAATAAAATGCTTTAAGTCATGAAAGAACAACAGAAATCAAAATTAGAAAACTCAGACATGGACTAAAAGAACACAGGGAAGAATACAAGATTATAAGAGGAATGAAATCTAAACCAGAATGAACACAAGAAGTGAATACAACAGCTAATGTCTTAAGAAAAACTTTCAAGATAAAAAAATAAATGAAAGGATAGTAGTATTCAAGCAATAGGCAACATATCAAGGTTAGGCAAAGAAGATTCAAAATATGGATACTAGAAATCCCTGAAAAAGAAAACCAAATCAAGGAAACTGAACAAGTAAACAACTTTTCTGAAATTATTTAAAAAATGTATTTGAGAGCACACTGCATGCCTGAGAACATCAATATACCACAACAAACACTGAAGCATATTCTAGTTAGATGACTGAATTTTATAGAAGAAAGGAAAAAAACCTCCTTTGAACTTCTAGGCAAAAACAGCAAGTGACTTATAAGAAAAAGGAAATTAGATTATCAGTAGGCTCTTTAAAGACACATTTAAGATACTTAGAGAAAGAAATTATATGGCAAGGATTTATGTATCCAGAAAAACAACTGACTTTCAAGTGTAAAGGGCACAGGCAGCTTGTTATTAAGATGCAAGAATTCAGGGAATAGTGTTCCCCTGAGCCCTTCCTGAGGAATGAGCTGTAGACAAGTTGACTAGAGAGGCATCTGCATAAAGGCTGGTAGTGAACGTCAATCAAATAGTTGCTGATGGGACTGAGACCAAATGGGGGTGAGAAGGGCATGGATATGGTATGGAATAGCCTTATGCTCAGGTCATAGAGAACAATGATTACAAAAGGTGGAGAAATGGGAACAGTATACTTAAAGGGCAGTTTGGGTTGCCTTCAGTGATTATAAAGTATATTAATGGTAGCAGTACGAGGATTGATATTGATATTCTGAGACTGTTATATGTCTAATGAGGGATAGGTGAAAGAGTAATTATAGGGTATTTTGTCCCTTTGTCCTTGAGAACTAGGACTTTGGCTGTGGAAAGAAATATATGGATATGACACAGGAGAGATTAAGAAGAAAATCCTGCTTAAAAAAATCCTATAGTCCTGAATTTGAATTTGAAGTGTCAGTATGACCTCATGAGACGTAAGACATCAGATATATATCTATATCTATCTATTCTATATCTATGTATATATCTATCTATATATCTATCTATATATATCTATATCTATATATATCTATATATCTATATATCTCATTATATTGTTATAATGATAGTTTTTAAAGAAAACTAATTGACTACTATGGGACAATAATAGAAAGGCAGCGAATCATTTGAAAATTGGCAAGTAAAGCAAAGGAATCAGGCATTTATCATGCCTTTCCTACTATGAACAATACCATTATGGACTGTGGGGAAAACGTCTCTAAAATATGATGGGAACATGTGGGTGGCTCAGTCGGTTAAGTGTTCAACCCTGGATTTTGGTTCAGGTCATTATCTGATGGTTAGAGAGTTTGAGCCCTGCATTGGGCTTTGCACTGACAGTGTGGAACCTGCTTAGGATTCTCTCTCTCTTCCTCTCTCTGCCTTTCCTCTGCACGCTCTCTCTCTCTCTCAAAATAAATAAATAAACTTTAAAAATTTTTTAAAATATGATGACGACGAGGCAAAGTGTCTCTAAGGTACTTCCACCACTAAAGATAATATAAATGATACATTAGAATAGCACAATTTTGCAACCCCCAGTGAACGAAGAGATCTGGTTAGTGACCATCGACAGCTGCTAATGTCACAAAAAGAGAAAGCCACTTATAATGGCCTCCTGACTACAGAAAATATCACCACTTATTGTCTTGCCAAAGAAGTCAAACTGGAGTCTGATCAAGCCTCTGGATCTAGCTGCAATTTTCAGGAAATAAAGAACACAGAGCAATATATTCAATCATACCACAGGGAAGCAATCAGAAAAACCCAGACTGTGGGAAACTCTACAAGGCAAATCCCACAATTAAATTAAATGGAAAAGGAAGGGATGGAAAGAAAACTTACAGATTAAAACAGATTTAAGAGACATATCAAAAAATATTTTTTGAGAGTCTCATGTGCTACCAGCTGAGCTAGCCGGGCAGTCAAAAAATATTTTTTAAAATGTTTATTTATTTATTTTTGAGAGAGAGTAAGAGCAGGATCAGGGGAGGGACAGAGAGAGAGAGAGAGAGAGAGAGAGAGAGAGAGACATAAAGAGAATCCCAAGCAGTCTCCATGCTGTCAGCAAAAAGCCTGATGCTGGGCTCAATTCCAAGAACCGTGAGATCATGACCTGAGCAGAAACAGCCAACTGAGCCACCCAGGCATCCCAGGCCTTGACATATCAAAATTTTAAGACTAGGCAAGACTAGGGTATAGCAAATGCTCACCTGGAAGATAAAACTATAAAGCAATGCCAAAAAAAAAATGAGTACAGTAAAATTCAAGATGTTGTTCCTTTAGGCAAAAGAATGGATTTATGATGGAATGGGTCTTCTAGAGTAGCTACCTATCTGTTTCTTCTTGACCTGGGCTATGTTTACAAGGGTATTCACATTTTAATAATTAATAAAGTTATACATCTATTTCATGTGGTTTTCTAGGTTTGATTTGTTTCCTCCAAAAAAGGTTAAAAGATTACCCACTGAACAATACCATACATTGTTTATGGATTCATACAAGTGAATATGAAAGTATTAAATTTGACAAGAACAATACCCATAAAGCTCATGTGAGTGGTTCCCTCTGGGGAAATGGAAGGAGAATGGAACTGGGGGTGAGAGGAAGCCAAAGGCTGCTTCAAGTCTATCTGCCACGTTCTAATTCCACAAAAGAAAGATGATGTAAATAAGTCAAAATCTTAGCAATGATCAATCTGGTACGTTGTAAACACTCGTGTTTGTGTATTATTCTCTCTTAGACTTTAGATTGAATTCCAAGAAATTTAGCTTGTGAATGCATATTGTGACTGAATGCAATAAATTCTCTGAAAATGCTTTGGTGCTATTGGAACAGCATGCTATGTAAACCAGACACAACCACCATTAGTCTGGCTTCCTTACTTTGAAAAAAATCATCCTTGATGAATTTGTTTCTTAACATTCAAGGAATGACAATTTGACTCTCAAAGAAGTTTATTCATTGTGGCTGTTCACCTAATAGTATTCTATAAGGGAAATAGAATCAATATTTTTTCAACTTTGTAGAGATGGAGAGAGAAATATACAATTTGTTTAAATCATCAATCATCAACCCATTCCTTTTTTTTTTTTTTTTTTTTTTTTTTGAGTATGGGTCAGATGATTTTATTGAGATCCAATTCAAATCCGTGGAAAGTTCCCAGATTATTTTCCCATTTGGGTTTTTTAAAGATCAGTTGTCCTCTCAGCCTAAATAAAGCTCTGTGTGGGTAAGGCTTTACATGTATCTGGGAATGTACATGTGGTTAAATTAACATAAATCATTGAAAATTATCCATTTTTCATTATTTTGACCTTCTTGGTACTTAAGGCAATGAAGTCCAGTTAGGCAAATCATTATAAATGTGAGATATGAAGCAACAATTGGCCATTCTACATTTTATTTCCTAAATGTCCTCAACAATCTCATTCTGCCATGGTGGAGAATGAATGTCAGGGGAAAAAATGCCTTGAGTGGTGTGTGTGTGTGTGTGTGTGTGTGTGTGTGTGTGTGTGTGTATTTGTTTTAATTTCTATGAGCCCCATAAGAATATCAACTCACACAAATAACTCAGTCATATTCTCCTCCATAAGTGTGTGTAGGGTATAAACTCACTCATGATGACTCAAAAGTCAGAAAACAAATCAGACCCACAGCCACATGACCCTTTCTGTATTTACCAGGAAGGTAGCTGCACAGTCTCTCCATTGAGGTCTCCACCGTGGAGTTGTGAACTTGAGCAAGCTGTTCAATCACGGATACCACCGCCACACAGGCTGCAAGGAGACAGAAGAACATGTCAGCAGTGTCATGTAGAAAACTGTGCTGGAGGGCCAGGGGAAAGGAAGGGATGCGCGTGTGTCCTTGGGAACACCAACCTTTCCAAAACACAGAACTTTTGTTTGCCAAGCCTTTTAACATCTGCTGTGTGCATAAAGGCACCATGAGTTGTAGTGAAATGTAAAGTGTGCTAAGAAGATTGTATGTTTGAGGGTCAGAAAGACTGGTTGTCAGTTCAGTTTTGCCACTTGTAAGCTATAGGACTTTGTGGAGGTAACTGAATCTTTGTTTATGTTCACTGCTTTTCAATCGCATAGAAGACAGACATGGCATTTAAAGGAGACAGCACAGAGCAGAAGCTCAATAGACACTGGTTTCTTTCCTCCCCCCTTTTCTTCCTTTCTGCAGCAGCTGGTTTCATTGGGATTAGGATCATCGCCACCCCATACATACTCAGCTGTGACTTAGGGTCAGGTTTTTAATTTTAGAAAAGTGGTGGAAATTGCTCAGCCTTTAGAGTCAGAAGACCTGGAATTGAGTCCTGCTCTTGAATCTTGGACTCACCGTCCAGGCTTTCTAAGACTTGGTCTCCTCACTGCAAAGTAGGTAATAAGTTTCCTATAAGAGGCTGTAATGATTCAGTGAGATAACAGTGCAATTGAACATGCCTTTGAAATCATAACACGAGTGTAAAGTATCATTTCACCTCCCAGCTAGAAAGCACTCTGCTTGAAAGCATATGCCAATATACTAAGTGTCTAAAAGGAACCTCAGATTAAATTAGAAATATATTACTTCACCAACCTTGGTATATATATGTGAAGGCCCAGAAATGCCAGGCTGACACCCTTTAGAAGTTTCTATCACCAGCCTTGATCTCCTGAATGCCTGGGAAAGCCCAAACTTCCTTTTTCCAAAGAGAGGGGACTCTTTCTTCTACACACAAAGGGTTGGTTGGTCAAAGATCAGTAAGTCTGTGAGAGGAAATTGTTAGGCCTCAGAGAGACAAGAGTGGCATTTATTAGCAGTGGTTGGTTTCCAAGGAGGAAAAAGAAGGCTTATATCCCAAATGAAGAAGTTCCAGGGTGCCTGGCCCAGTAGTAAACTCGCCATTAACCATCTGCTCAAGGTGCTGGGAACCCAAATTCACATGCAGTGTCATTAAAGCCAGATTTCTACCAGGACTCCTTGAGGGAAGGTGGCTGGTAACAGATGTGATAGTACAATTGAGCATTTCTAGACAGAAAGAAATAAAATCTTCTGTAAAATGCAGGATTGTCAATGAGCGAGAGACTTTCCCCTTTCTAGACACTGCAACAGCTGATGAGGCTTTTGGCCTCGATTGCTCTGTATCCTCAGATAAAGCCAGACAAAGCTAGGCTCACCTAATCTGAGCGTGATCTTGAAAACCACAATCTCACTGCTCTGAGAGCACCTGCGCATTTATCAACACCAACTATCAAGGTTGATTAGATGTGCTTTTAAGTAATCCATGCATTGAGGGTTCTATTACACGCAATGAATTTAGTAGCTGATACTTATTAGCACTTTATGATCTAAAAAGCATTTTCATGTGTATTTTGTTTTATTTTAAAAATAACATTTCAAAATATAATGCAATGCAATCTCATTTTAGAAAACCAAAAATACCGAATATTGTAAATAAAATAAACATCATTTAACTCACCCAGAGATAAACCAATTTCACTTTTACTTTAAATATATAAAATATATTTAACATATGCGAATATTTTCAACATTTATAATACTTTTACCCCCTAATTTATGCCTCTGCCAATCACCTCTTAAGTAACGGGAGCTAAATAAATTTTAATAACTGCAATTGAAAGACAATGATAAATAATGAGATTGCAGTGTGGTAAGAGGATGCAGTGTGGTATAGTTGAAAAGGGAGAGGCTTTGAATTAAAAAATAAACTTGGGTTCAAATACTGGATGGATGAGTTACAAACAGTGTAACTTGAACAAGTTACCTCTCCACTGGAACTTCATTTTTACGAGTTTAGATTTGGACCAGAAGTTCCTTGAAGGTGGGAGAAGGGTCTTACTGTCTCTAACTTTGAATGCCTGATGCAGGGTGTGGTTTGGAGTCAGGGGACAGAGATGTGTGCTGACTTGAAGCAAGCTGACTGGAGAACCAGTAGAGTGACATTTCAGTTGTCAGTTACTGGGGGTCTCCGTAGGAAAAGGTTAATGAGTGCACCTGAAGTTGTGTTCAGACTCAGTCATCTCCCCAACAACGTCGCTTACTCTCATTCCATCTTGTTGCAGGGCATGACTGCACTTCTCATTCTGGTGTGAAACAACCAGTGCCAACTCTTGAGTCAGACAGCGGATCTGATAGCAAATAGTCACGACTTGCAGCTGGGGATCACAGAAGGCGGTGGACATGGGGTTGAAATCTTGCATAACAATCACTTTGTGTGGCATCTCATCAATGAGCTGCTTCACCCAGCATAGACTTGAAACGAGGGTATGCATTTGTTTTAATCCAAGGCTTGCAAGGATCAATGCAAAGAGAATTGTGCCACTCGAAACCTCAACCTACTTCTTTGTACTTATAGATATGGGTTTTTCTTTTACTCAGACAAATCCCATCAAGGACTCTTATGACTTTGGTGGCTCCTTAGCACTCCTTGCTAAAATTGGAAATCATTAGATAAAAGGAGCCAAAAAAAAAAAAAAAAAAGTCAGCTCTCTCTGATGGAGTGGACCTTGACATCACCTCTGCTCTGTCCAGTGAAGAGTTATGATCAAAAGGGCTCTGAAGAAAACTGGGTAATGGGGTTTGAAATATGTAAACGCCCAGGTTGGACTCAGCTTTGATTTGAATCATGCTCCCTTAGACATCCTCACCCATATCCAGGGGCCTCAACTCCCCTTCCAGCTGGATTGTTAATTTAGGGTCTGCAGCGCAGTGTGTTCTGAATCCTTTAGTTGGCAAGAGTGGAGAAATTGACTTGGCTATAGTTTCTAATAAGAGGTTCCACTGTCTTGACAGGCTAAAGAATGTTTTCCCTTAGACGCATGGGCAGAGTAATTCTTCGCATTACAGACCATTCTCTGGCTGCTGATAAAAGGCCTGGCTCTGCTAAAGTGAGTTTGTCCAAGCTACTGTTCATTTACAGAGAGTGAGAGCGGTGCACTTTGCTCAATGGTCACCATTCGAAACCTCACATATGGAAAATCTCTTCTCACGTGGCTTCTGAAAATAATGAGTGTAATAGAAACAGACACTCCTGATATTGTAGGAAAAGAAGTGAATGGGACCCAATAAAAACATCTGCCACAGGGATCTGCTTCTGGACACATTCCTCTGGTAGGTTGCAGACTATACCCAGAATCCTTTTGAAATGAAACAGGACTCTTGCAACTCTAATTATAATCATATCCATGCTGGCTGGAAATGCAGCCAACTGCAGAGAGACGGCTACAAGATTTCCCATTTGTGTGAAGCCCACACTTCATCGAAAAGCCCAGAAAGCACTAGGCAGTTGTCAGAGACAGGGTCAGCATGACTATCCTTCCTTTTTGACCCTAAGTGGACACATAAATAATTCATCACATGGCTAGAGTGTGCCCTGCAGTTTTCAAAGTGTTTTGCATACATTATCATCTCATTCAAACTTCACAACAACTCATAGATGTAGGAATCATTGCTCTCATTTTACAGACCAGCAGACAGAGGCTCAGAGAGGTTAGCTATCTTGCCAAGGATGTGGCTAGTTAACAGGAGAGCTGGGACTGGAACACAGTATGTACTGAGTTCCTTCTAGATGGAGGCACTGTGCTGGGCTGTGAGTAGGTGCTGAAAAAAAACTGATATGGTTCCTGCCCTCTTAGAGATTATGCTGTAATGGAGAAAAGTGATGGTAAACAAACAAACACATAATTATAAATAATTTTAGGAGCCATGAAGAAAAGGAACAGGGTGAAATAGCAGAGGGTAATGAAGATGGGGTGGTATAAACCTTCTTAGCTAGAGCCAATAAAGAGGGCTTATCTGGAGAACGCACACAAAAAATGGCTAATATAATGGAAAGGATCATAAGGAGCTGGGGGCAAGCTTGGTAAGAAGTGGGGGGAGCTGATGCCACTTCATGGCCTAAAGCTAGGAAAACCTGGCACCAGAACCCAATGGTGAAAGATGAAGTGCAGGGAAAGGAAGATGTCAGTTTCATGGGCTTTGTAGACTGCAAAAGAGCCAGGGATTTTTCCAGAGAGCAATGGGGAACCATGGCTGGGTTTTGTGGAAAGAGCTGCTGCTATTTGATCTATGTCTTAAATTATCATGTTGGCTGTCACAGGGAGGAAGGTACTTAGGGGGGCAAAGGTGGGAGCAGAGAGATGAAGTAGAAGGCTATTTTGGTACCAATCCAAGTGGTGGATTGGAGAGTAACGAGTGGCAGGGGGGACAGAGAAAAATAGACAGATGTGGGATCTATTGTGGAGGTTAACCCAATACAATTTATTAATGAATTGGCATGTGAAGGAAAGAAGTATGAGGACAAGTGAGAATCAAAAATGATTCATTTATTTGTGGTTTGGGCTCCAGGGAAGGGTCGAGCACAGGTTTTGGGACCATACCACACCTGGGTTTGGGTTCCTGAGTCCTTATGCACCTGGGTGACTTTGTATGTCCCACCTCCCACCACAATAGCGCTCCTCAAGCAGCTAAACTCTGTTTTCCTCAGATTTCCCTGCTTGTGTGGGAGCAGAAGATATGGCTTTACATGTTTACACTCTCCTAGGCCTTTCTCATGTTGGTGAAAAGAAAAGGAAATAAGGTATGAAAATAGTCACTTAAAATTACCTTCCTACCAGTTTTGTTTCCCTACGATAGTAGTTACTAACTAGTACACAACCCAGATATGAATATTACACCTTCACCCTTTTCTTTTCCTCGTCTCATGAGTCCGGACATGGATAGGGAGAGGTTGGTAAGAAGAAAAGAGAGTGGAAGGGAGTAATGAAGG